TCTGACAGAAGAGTTTCTTTGTAAGTCTAACCTTCTTGTCATTGATGAGGTTAAACGTGACTGCATCAAAGGCTTTAGCAATTGAAGCTGTTGATCCCGCCTGAGATAACCATGAAATCGGTACAGAGAAAGAATTGAACATTGCCTTGGATAAAACAGAATTCTTCAAGGCAATCACGAGCATCTTCAATTCTTCAGGGTACTTAGATACATCAGGTTCAACTTGATAGTTGGTACCCTGGATCTTCATAATAGGCATGGAAGTAATATCTTCTGGAGTTTGAGAAGGTTCAACATTGACATTAGCAGTATTCGCCATTGTTAGGGTTTTGAAAGCTTGAAAATTCAGAGAGAATTAGGAATTATCTTTGAATGCGTAAAGTGACAAAAGACCCTTGAATCTCCTTTTATATGTAACACTCTTGTTTGAATTAAAAGCGGGATGTGCATTTAATGACTGCCGACGTGGCACCTTGAAAAACCGGACCACTACTCCGTAGAAATAGCCATGCGTCAAAAAGTAACTGTCCCATCGCCATAAAACCCGGACACAATATCACACGTAATTGAAATACAGCCTGTTTTGTTTTCCCCAAGAGAATTGTAACCGTCGGACCCCTTCGGATGGAAGTTAGGCTCTTTCACTTTTGGGATGAAAAGCGAAGTCATATGCCAGATGTTTGAAATCATCAGCCTGAGTTGGTGTTACTCAGAACCTCAAGGATTTCGTGAGTGCAGTGTTCCAAAGAAAGTTAGACAAGAAACAATGAAATAAAATTTTTTGGGATTTTGTGATGTCAAAAATTTAATTTGACACGAATGCAGTTAAACCCCGGGCAAAGGTTGCTTCGTTAATCATCAAGAGAGATGATCAACAACTTGTGTATGTTCCCGTGAATTACAATCGAAAACTTGTAGAAAAGTTTCGAAGGGCACCTTTTGTAAGGCTACATAGGTGGCTTAATAAATTTCGTTACATATCAGTCTTAACATAAGGTGAGTAATTGTAACAGAAATTACTTGTTTGACCAGTGTAGTTAGTGACAAGTGTGTTTTGAAAAATGTTTAAAGTAACTTTGGGATTCGAAGTAAACTCACACGGAAATCATATTCATGAAAAAAATTTGTGTTGGACCTTGTTGGGTAACAAACATCGTGGGTTTCGAATGTTTGATCAAGATCACTCATATGAAATGAATATGATTTGGAGTTTTGAAAATAGGTACTGAAACAAATGTTTCATAAAATCTGGAACATAGTTCCCCGTCAATTCCTTAATTTGAAAGAAATTTGGGTTTCACTTTCATCACGGTCTCATGATGTAAGATCATTAACACAGATTGTTGATATGTCTAAGTCTCGATTGGTTTGATCAGAGACCTCTCGGACATATGTCTTTGTGTGTGATTGTGAAATAAATTTTAGATGAAAAAGATTGGTGAAGATACGAAGTGTACCTCTGTTATATTTGGACAAAACAGTAAACTCTTTACTCATATGAGAAGAGTCAGGTAGCTTAGGAGACTAATGTGAATACAAGCCTGATTGGGAAGAAATCTTCGTATGAAAAGTTCATTAAGGCTTTTGTACACACACATTGAGTCATTAGAGGCTTCGGACAACATGCAGCAGCATGCTTCTAGGGACATCTTAACTAGTTCAAAATAAGTAAAATGTAAAGAGTTGTAAGATTCATTTACCTGACCTTAGATCTGCAAGCATGTGCCTCTTCGTATGTTCAGAAAGATCTGCAACAAAGTTCTTAAAAAAATATATATAAAATCTTTTTGTTGTTTTGAATTTTCAAAAATAAAGAACAAAATAAAGTGAAAATCTTTTTGATGTTTTTGATTTTTCGAAAACGAAGAACAAAATAAAGTGAAAATCTTTTTGATGTTTTTGATTTTTCGAAAACAAAGAACAAAAGAAAATGAAAATATTTTTGATGTTTTTGATTTTTCGAAAACAAAATTACTCAAATAAACGAAAGTACTTGTTGCAAATATACTACATTTTACCAATTCACTGAAAAGTGACAATCATACGAATTCGAAGCGTTCGAAGAGTTGACTATGAACAGTAACCTCTGAACACTGAACGATGACACGTGATCACTGATTCAGAGCCTCTGAACCATTCTCGATCAGTCACTCTTCTCCTGTTTCGCATGGAACAGAATTTCCATCGATCATTCCAAGTCCTTCTATAATTCTTACAAGAGATTTTTCATCTAACGCTTTCGTGAAAATATCAGCTAACTGATCAGTTGTTTTCACGAAATGTACTTCAATATTTCCATCCTCCACGTGATCCTTGATGAAGTGGTAACGAAGAGCTATATGTTTAGTCTTCGAATGCTGCACAGGATTATGACAAATTCGTATTGCACTTTGAGAATCACAATATAATGGAATCTTTTTCATATTAATTGCATAATCACGTAATTGACTTTGAATCCATATTATTTGTGAAGTGCAAGCAGCAGCAGCCACATATTCTGCTTCAACTGTTGAGATTGATACACATGTTTGCTTTTTCGATTGCCAACTCACTAATTTGCTATAAAGTAATTGACATCCACCACTTGTACTTTTTCGATCAAGATTACAACCACCCAAGTCTGCATCCGAATATACTTGTACAAAGAACCCAGTTTTCGAAGGATACCACAATCCTAACGAAATTGTTCCTTTAAGATAACGAAAGATATTCTTCACAGCAGTGAGATGTGGTTCTCGTGGATTAGACTGATACCTAGCACAATTACACACAGAAAACATGATGTCAGGTCTACTTGCTGCAAGATAAAGTAATGAACCTATCATGCTCCTATATAAAGTTATGTCAACTGCAGGTTTATCTGATGATGGTGTTAACTTTATGCCCGTTGCCATTGGAACTCGTAACTTTGTGCTATTCGTCAATACAAATTTTTCGAGCGGATTCTTCGTATATTTTTCTTGATTGATGAAAATCCCTTCTCTGTTTTGACGAATATTCAATCCAAGAAAATTATTGATTTTGCCCATCATGCTCATTTCGAACTTACTTTTCATCAAATCTTCAAATTCTTTAGACAAAGCAAGGTCAGTTGAGCCAAAAATAATATCATCAACATAAATTTGAACAAGCATTAGATGATTCCCAACTTTCTTTCGAAATAATGTGGGGTCAACAGATCCTTGTTTAAATTTAGATTGTTTCAAAAACGAAGTAAGAGTGGCATACCATGCTCTTGGTGCTTGTTTTAAACCATAAACTGCCTTATCTAAAATATAAACATGATGTGGATATTCTTCGTTAATAAAACCTGGGGGTTGTTCCACATAAACAGTCTCTTCAAGCTCTCCATTTAAGAATGCACACTTCACATCCATTTGATAAACATCAAAATCTTTATGAGCTGCATAAGCCAGAAATATTCGAACAGCCTCGAGTCTTGCGACAGGGGCAAAAGTTTCTTCATAGTCGATTCCTTCTTGTTGTGAATATCCTTTAACAACAAGTCTGGCTTTGTTTCGAACAATGTTTCCATCTTTGTCAGTTTTATTTTTGAAAATCCATTTTAACCCGACAATCGAAACATTTTCAGGTTTAGGAATTAATCTCCAAACCTTGTTTCGTTCGAATTCAGACAATTCGGATTGCATTGCAACAACCCAATCTGAGTGTTCCAATTCAACCTTAATTGTTTTTGGTTCAATTTTAGATATGAAAACATTGAACATGCAAAATTCTTGATGAGTATTCAATACCTCATTCTTTGCACGAATTTGAGCTCTTGTTAAAACTCCCTCTTGTGGATTCCCAATTACTTGATCCTTCGGATGATCTCTTGTCCATTTTTCCATTGGTGGATATGCTGGATCAAATTCCAAAGGTGCATCTTCGTATATATCATCAATCTCAGAACCGCAATCGAACAAACATCATCAAAATCATTATTATTTTCAATATTTTGCTAAATGCTCCCCCTCAACATTATGCTCCCCCTCAACATCATCATGTAATGTTTCTTTCCCCCCCTCGAAAGAATGCTCACCATTATCTAATGTATTCGAATCCAAGTGATACCAATTGATGAAACAAAGAATCGAGTATGAAATGAATCAGAGTTTAATGATCAAAGTAGGATTGTGAGATTTGAACACAGATGTAAATATGATCTTGTTTTAGCTCTATTATGCTTTCAAGTTTTACAGAGTACAAATGATAATCCTGTAAAGACTCATATCCATGACTCTAGTAAACACTCCTATTTATAGGAGAGGAAAGCGTACAAAAAATATACTAAGGACTATGCGTTAAGCTTTGAATACAATGCCCTAGTAAAATAGATTACATAAGATACGAAGACTCAGTACATTCGAAGACATGAAACCCTTCGACTGATTACAACTCTATTTACCCTTACAAACTGTCTCTGCAAAAAAATTTAAATATACATCAAACTTTAAAGAGTAAATTGTTAAATTCACAATAAGGTAAATTTTAAATTTGAAATTATTCACACTGTGAATTATAATGGGATTCTCTGTGTGAATTTTATTACTTATTCATAACTATTGAAAATTTTATTTATTATATTATAAACATTATCATGATATATATTTTTTAATTAACTTACCACCATTGATGTATCAAAGAAATACTGATTCACTGTAGAATTTGATTTAAGTTTTTCTTCGTAGTTCAAAATATCAGTCGAAGCATCAATGACATGTTCATGTACCCATAATCCTGGATGCATTGTTTCAATCATTCCTCTTCCAAGCACATAACCTCTCTTAGTCTAAAATACCTTCTCACTTAATTTGTAATCAAATAAAACAAAAAAGCAGTTAATAGAAAATTAATTTGTATTTGTATTTATATACTATTGTATTTAAATAAAAGATAACATGAATTATTACCTGCTATTACCAATTTTGGAAAAAATTCTATCTGACACTTTTACTTCATCTAGATCTACAAATTTTGATGCACAAACCTCTTTTTTATTATAAGGAGAAGATAGCTTCAGTGATGGTTTTTTTAATCTTTTTCCTACTTCTCTTTTTTTTGTCTTCATCATCTTCAATTCCCAAGATATTATTGTCACACTCTGTTTCTTCTGAATCATAACTTTCTCCTTCATCAAGTTTTTCATCTTTTATTTCTTTCTTCATGTGTTCATCTTCACTGCTTTCATCTCCTTCCTAAAACTCTTGTGTTAGACCAAGACCAAGTCCAAGTGAAAAACTAGGCATTGATGATTTTCTAGTATTTTTTTTCTTTGTTTATCATCTATTATTGTTTTTTTATTTTTTTGTTCTCTAAAACTTTTTACATTTTCAAAATCATCATAATCATCAAAATTTAAAATACATTGAATAGAATCAGCAATCTCATGAACTATTGGATCATTGTACAAATTTCCTGGTGTTACCATGATTGGCTGATTCTTTATTTCATGTTCATTCAAATTCTCATCGCTTTTTTCTTCATCTTCATTCCTGTCACTTTTTGCATCATCTTCATTTTGAGTTTTATATATGAATTCTTGTTCAAAGATTTTCTTCATATCTTTCAACTCATCGCTTTCTATGAATTTTGTTGTTGAAAACCCAATTAACTTTCCAAACTTCATTTTATCATTCACTAGTTTTTTGTAATTCTTTTTCGCTTTGAATACCAATTCCTGCGAAATGAGATAAAAAATGTCAATAAAAATGAATTTTTTTAACTTTTTTCTATAATAAATTACAGTTTCAGAATATAAATGCATTGATGAGGTATCACATTTTTAATGCATTTTAATAAATTACATATTCACTTTGTGAATTTATTATAGAGAAAGTAATAAAATACACTTTTATATTCACAATGTGAATCACTTTATGAATTTCATCTTAACTACAGTTTTATAACATATATCTATAATATAACTTCAATTTTTTTTAATTATATAGACTATTAACTTACATCGAGTTTCATATCTTCATTTTCGTCGGTGTCGGATTCTTCATCATTCTCTATAACAACATCATTCCATTCCAAAGTTCCAAAGTCACCACTCTTTAACTCAGCTTTTTCCCTTTTCACCATCATTTCGTAATCCTAAAATTGCAGTGCATGTATTTGTCTTTTTTCATTCTTATCATTTCTCATAAACTCCAAATAAGCTAGCTGTTTATGTAAACAAAATTATGATTAATTAGTTTTCTTATAATAATATAAATAAAAGTGTTAATTGTAAGAATTTTCCTTACCAATAATACAAGAAGTGGCCCACAATAGTAGTTTCCTCTATCGGTTTCATCCCACGTCATCTTTGACATTTTCAAGCAATTGGTTATAAAACCACACCAGTCACTTTCTCTCATAGGTGTTTTGCCTAACAAATGTGGCAATACTGTTGTCTTACATGTACCAGGCTTATTCTGTTCACAGATAGTATTAACAAACAGTAATAAAAAGTTTGTTCTGAAAATAATCCATGAATCTGATGATTCTTTAATTCTCTCTTCAACATCTGATGGTCTCATAACCTTGAAATTGTATTGTTGCTTCCAATCCATTAATTCTTTTCCTTCACATTGATCAGTGTTATATATATCTTTTCCAACTAGAGGAAATTCCAAGCAAATCATGAACAAGTTCTGGTGTTATGTCTATCTTTGCATTATGTAGATGGATTTTCATATCTGATGGATTGAATGAATTCACAACAAAACGTGCCAATTTCCCAGAAATTCCATTGGTTTCAATTCGCAGCAAAGATCTCAATCCCATTTCTCTAACAACTTTTTTCTGTTCTTTGTTTAAAGAATTAACAATATCATAAAACTTCTTTGGGCTCATTCTTGTTCTCAAAGATACTATGTTATTTGGATTTATTGGCACTTTTGCCTTTTTTTCTTTGACTACTTCCAGAGTCTTTGTTTTTCTTTTTCTTTTTCCTGTTAGTCAATAATTTTCATAAGCTTCTCATAATATAACATATATACTATAAAATAACTAACAATACAAGAAATTCACATGTGAATTTGTTTTGCAAAATATAATATAATACATAAAATAAACATGTTAATTTGTTTATAACTTTGTAAATTAAACATGTGAGTAGTAATAAAAAAACCTATTACTTTTTCATCAGATTCTTTCTTTACAAGACTATCATCAACTTTAATAGGAGTCACAGATTTTTTGTATTCAATCATTTTAATTCTTGGACTCTGTCTGATTTCTGTTCATGTTTTAACAAAATTAATAAGAATTAATTTTATAATATCAAATTCAATTATAATTTTATAAATACTAACCTTGAGTTGTTTTCTTTTCAGATGTCTTGAAAACAGATTTGTCTTGCTTCATCGACTTTTTTGTTTTTGTTTTTTGTAATCTTTGACTCTGTCTGATTTCTGTTCATTTAAAAAAAATTAAAGATAACTGATTTTATATATTAAAGTAAATTATAATTTTTTAAATACTAACCTTGTGTTGTTTTCTTTTGAAGTGTCTTCAAAACAGATTCATCTTGCTTCATCAATTTTTTTGTTTGCTTTTTTTGAATCTCATCACCTTCTAAACTTTTTTCTTTTTCAACATTTTCATCAATAGTCTTTTCATCTTCAATTTTTCTTAATTTATTAACTATTTCCACCACGGTTCTCCTTGCTGTGTTTTTGGTATATTTTTTTGAACCTTTAACTACACAATGTGAAATTTTTAATATCAATGTCAAAAATCTAAGTAGTATTATGAAATACATGTCAAACAATATACACATACACATACACATTGTGAAAAATATCCAAGATTCACATTGTGAATTTATGCATTTAACAGCAAAAGAGTTTGAGGTTCACCAAGTGATGTACACATACACATGGTGAACTTTTACAACTATTTTGTGCATAGTGAATACAAACAAAAGTGTTGATCAACTTGCAAAAAAAAAATAACAGATTCACATTGTGAATCTGTGTGAATGTGAGACATACATCCAAGATTCACATTGTGAATTTATGCATTTAACAACAAAAGAGTTTGAGGTTCACCAAGTGATGTACACATACACATAGTGAATTTTTAAAATTATTTTGTGCATAGTGAATACAAACAAAAGTGTTGATCAACTTGCAAATTTTTTTTAAGAGATCCACATTGTGAATCTATGTGAATGTGAGACATACATCCAAGATTCACATTGTGAATTTATGCATTTAACAGCAAAAGAGTTTGATGTTCACCAAGTCATGTACACATAAACATGGTGAATTTTTACAACTATTTTGTGCATAGTGAATACAAACAAAAGTGTTGATCAACTTGCAAATTTTTTTTTTAACAGATTCACATTGTGAATCTATGTGAATATGAGACATACATCCAAGATTCACATTGCGAATTTATGCATTTAACAGCAAAAGAGTTTGAGGTTCACCAAGTGATGTACAAATACACATGGTGATTTTTAAAATTATTTTGTGCATAGTGAATACAAACAAAAGTGTTGATCAACTTGCAAAAAAAAATTAAGAGATTCACATTGTGAATCTGTGTGAATGTGAGACATACATCCAAGATTCACATTGTGAATTTATGCATTTAACAGCAAAAGAGTTTGAGGTTCACCAAGTGATGTACACATACACATGGTGAATTTTTACAACTATTTTTGTGCATAGTGAATACAAACAAAAGTGTTGATCAACTTGCAAATTTTTTTTAAGAGATTCACATTGTGAATCTGTGTGAATGTGAGACATACATCCAGGATTCACATTGTGAATTTATGCATTGAACATCAAAAGAGTTTGAGGTTCACCAAGTGATGTACACATACACATGGTGAATTTTTAAAATTATTTTGTGCATAGTGAATACAAACAAAAGTGTTGATCAACTTGCAATTTTTTTTTAAGAGATTCACATTGTGAATCTGTGTGAATGTGAAACATACATCCAAGATTCACATTGTGAATTTATGCATTTAACAGCAAAATAGTTTGAGTTTCACCAAGTGATGTACACATACACATGGTGAATTTTTACAATTATTTTGTGCATAGTGAATACAAACAAAAGTGTTGATCAACTTACAATTTTTTTTAAGAGATTCACATTGTGAATCTGTGTGAATGTGAGATATACATCTAAGATTCACATTGTGAATTTATGCATTTAACAGCAAAAGAGTTTGAGGTTCACCAAGTGATGTACCCATACACAGGGTGAATTTTTAAAATTATATTGTGCATAGTCAATACAAACAAAAGTGTTGATTAACTTGCAATTTTTTTTTTAAGAGATTCACATTGTAAATCTGTGTGAATGTGAGACATACATCCAAGATTTACATTGTGAATTACTTTTTTTTAATAAGTGTGTAGTATATGATTAGATAATTAGTTATTTTAATCTGAATGCGAATGTTCTAAGCTTTTTTTTTTATCTTGAATATCTTCAATTTTTTCACTTGTAGTTGAAGGTAGAACATCTTTTAGATTTCTTGTCAATTTCATTCTTTTCTTATTATCCTTTTTTTCATTGATCTTTTCTTCATTTCCTGTTTTTGATTAACAAATTAATTCAAACATCAATTTCATGGTATGAAAGTTATGATTTATTCATATATTTCACAATGTGAATCAGGATTACAAATGAATTTAACATAATATTTATTCACATTGTGAATTCAGTTTGAATCAAAACATTACCAATGCAAGTCTTTATAAGTTTACAATGAGAAGCACAATAAGAGATACAATATCAATTAAACATAGATGCACAATGTGAATTTCACAAGATGAAAAAATCAAATGTAAATGATAAATCACCCTGTGAATTCACAATTTGAATAAATGATATGTTAAATTGATATATAATCATGATTCACTTTGTGAATTGTTAAATAATGCAATACTCAAAAACATTGAATCATATAAAAATAATCAAATGTAAATCACAAAGCACACGGTGAATTCAAAATGTGAAATTAGTTTTTCAGTTTAATGAATAAACTCATAAACCACTTAGATTCACAAAGTTTTTAGGAAATTACGGTTTGTAATTTAGATATTCATGATTTCTGTATCGATTTGAAGAAATTTATATCATTAGGTTTTTGGTAATTATACAAATTCTCAAAAGTTCATGAAATTAGGGTTTCGATTTACTTATAAACTCAGATTCGAGTTAGATTCACAAAGTTTTAGGAAATTTCAGTTTGTAATATAGATATTCATGATTTCTGTATCGATTTTAAGAAATTTAAATCATTAGGTTTTCGTTATGTATACAAATTATTAAAAGATCATCATCCGAGGGTTTCAAATCAGTCTAAAACGATTTTGTTAATAAAATAGTTTATTCACAGATTCATCGAATACATAATGTAACAGATAGTTTAGATTTGTCGTTTTGAAATTTATCAATCGAAAAAATATAATGTTGAAAATGCATTAAATGAGATAATCGGAAATGAATAGCAGTCAAATATACCTTCTAGATTCATTTTGACGAACTTTTCAGGATGATTCACTGTGGATATTGACTGAATCGTCGTCGGAGATTTGTTTGAAATCGATGTTCGTCGGTGAAGTAAAATATCGCTTTCAATGAGAGGGTAAAATCGATTTCACTGATATGTGAAACTGATGAACTAACGTCGTTAATTAACAGTGAGAGTTAATAAGTTTTCGGTTGACGAAAATGCCCCATTAAGTTATGTGTTTGGTTATAATCAGGTGCACACTATTGTTTTTCATACTTTTACATCTAAAATCCAATGGTTGTTAATTTTTTTTATCCAACCATCTTAATAGGTTCCTTGGTTCCTCCACCCATATTGGTTCTCTATTGAACCTCTCCCTATATATATATATATATATATATATATATATATATATATATATATATATATATATAGTAGGTTATAACCTGTGTACCACACGGGATTAAGAACTTAAAATGACATAAATAATTTATAATAAGTGAGTTGATATAAAAGGAGATATAACAAAACTCAAATTTATATAGATAAATAAAAATTAAGAACTTATCATGGAAGTAGGAATGATGTTTTTTGGCGTAAAAGTAAATGCAATATCATATTTTGTTTCAAAATCTAAAGTATCATGGTGTTTTATGCTTAAAATTTAAAGTAACATATTATAGTTTGGTTAAAAATAAAAGTATCATTCTATTGTCCGCTTAAAAATAAAAACATGTTAACGTTAGTTTAAAAATGAAAATTGTATGTTATTTTTGTCGTAAAAATGAAAGTGGCATTCATATTTTGCCGTAAAGACGAAAGTATCATTCTACTTATCGTTTGGAAATGAAAATAGCATGCTATGTTTGTTGTAAAAACAAAAGCATCTTGCTGTTTTTGTCGTAAAAATTAAAATAATATGCATATTTTGTTTTTAAAATTGAAATAGCATGTTATTTTTCGTTTAAAAGTGAAAGTTGCATTTTATTGGTTGTTTAAAATGAAAGTAGCATACTATTGTTGGCTTAAAAATGAAAGTATCGTGCATATTTTTCCTTTAAATGAAAATATCATGATATTTTCTACTTAAAAATGAAAGTAGCATGTTATTGTTGGGTTAACAATATGGAGGTTTGTTAGATGGATGTAGGATTTACAAGTGGGTTGATTTAGGGTAGCTTGCAGCGAAATGTGTATTTGAAATAAATGAAAAAGATCAACCATAAGAGTTTTAACTGAATGCCCGTATCACCGACATGAGAGAAGAGTGTCTTTCACTTTAAAACTTAAAAGGCCTAATTTAGTAGAATACTCTTGTAACTTTGATTTTTGATAGAGTGATCACCATTAAACAATAACATGGGAGCTTCAAGAAAGGGCTTATATATCATGTATAGATACGCCCAAGAGAAATTATTGTAATCAGTAAAAGAAACCACTTCTTAAAAAACATTTAAACAAAAATTATGGTATTAATAGTTGAGTGATCAAATATGCGATATTGAAATATAATTTGTTTTTCATAGCAGTTTAGTTTTAGCAATGGGTAGTCCTTTTTTGTACAAATTCCTCATAAGTTAAAAAAAATGAGTAAATTACAAAATGGTCCCTAATATTTATAAAAAAATGCAATATTGGTCCATATTTAGAACATTTCCCACAATTATTCTTGAGATTGAATACTATTACATATATGGTCCATCTCTACAAACGCCGCCTAAACATCCTATTATACCGTCCCATGGGAGTATTTTGCTATTTTTCTTCTTTCTCCACCCCCTGTCATTTAGTACTAATAATTTTTTCTCAACTCTAATTATAGAGTACATTAGTCTTCATTACTTTACTACGTCCTCTTTACGTTTTCTACATCTCGTTCTCCATCTTTCCTGTAATTCGATTAAAAGAACACATTTAGATGAAAAAAAACTTTTAACTAAATCCACTTTTAGAAATCTCATGTGAAGCGGTAGCAAAATAAACAATTAATTCAAAAGAATTTTTAGAAATCTCACGAGAATCGGTACCTGAAATCAACAAGACAAAAAGATACACTAAAACAACGATTTTTTGGCATTCAAATTCAATTTTATTTTTCAGATTTACTAATGTAAAGCCTTAACAGGATAAACATTAAAGGATATTTGATTTTACATAGCAATATGACAAGAACTCTAAAATTGGTTGTAGTGTGTATTTATGAGAGCTCTTGTAGAACAAACAATGAAAATGTGATTTGATGGTGTAGAAATACTAACATCTTACCATAGTTATTCTGATGCTGCATTTCAGAAAACCATTGT